GTATATGTATGTATATGTATGTATATGTATGTGTCTGTATATATATATAATGTATATATATATATATATATGTATATGTATGTATATGTATGTGTGTGTGTGTGTATATATATGTGTGTATATATATATATATATATATATATATATATATATATATATATATATATATATATATATATATATATGTTTTCTGAGGTTATATATGTTTTCTGATATATATTTGTTCTCTTGCTCCTAGAAGCACGAAGCCGAGAACACCAGCCTAAAGATGACGAATGAGACTTCGTCGAAATGTTGCCAAGAAACCTCCAATTTTACGCGGGAGAAAACCCGTATAACCAAAGACATATATATATATATATATTTAGCTTCTTTCTCTCAAGCTTTCTGAACTTATCTCTTGTATATGTGTGTGTGTGTGTGTGTGTGTGTGTGTGTGTGTGTGTATATATATATATGTAAGTTTTCACGGGTATGTATGTGTGTATAGTTAATATTCCGGGTTTCTTCCCGTGTAATTGTGGATATATCCCTAAAAGGGTAGAAGCGACGTTTCGACAGAATCCCATCTGCCATCATCAGGCTTATGTCAGTAATATTTTGCTATATATATATTTAGCTTCTTTCTCTCAAGCTTTCTGAACTTATCTCTCGCCCTATCATCAAAAATGGTTGTCAACAGTTTCTAGAGGGCAGAAATAGACATTGCCCTCTATCATAGCTTCACTCACCCTCAAAGCAACCTTCATGTGCATTTTCTGCTGCACTGCAAGAGTACACTTTTCAATCCTGTATTGGTTTGAGTGCTCCTGTCCATTTGGCCTAAAGTGTTTTAGCTTCTGCAAGCTAATTTCAGCACTTCGGTTCCTACATTGTAGAAGAAGTTAAACTGATCAGATCCTTATTATGCATTCAAATTCCTACTGTCCCTCCCCTAACCTTAGCACTGTTAAAATATCAGAGTGGTTATAAAGTTATCATAGAATAGAAAAAGTTGTTAGTTTGAAACCCAGATAAATATATTTTTCAATTTTTTTATTACAATCAGTCAAATCTTTATTTGGTCACAAATAGAATACAGAAATCACAATTAATTAAAATTAAGAAGAATCGGGATGTGTAACTGAGAGTTTTTATTACAGTTTTTCTATAGTTTTTCTTATTAAAAAACAAGTCCAGAATTTTACTATTTCATTATTATTTTTTTCAATCATTTGAGGTAAGAATGTTTCACCCCAGCTTTCAGTTAGGCCATAGATTTCTTTGGGCTATTTGAGAGTTGGAAATGAACCTGTTATTTCTGGTGAATGAAGAAATAGTAAAATAATGAACTCTAGGCTTATTTTTGTTTAAGTGTGTGTGCTGATATGAGAAACTACCTATTTCAGAGGAATTGTATTTTTAAAAACATTTGTGCTGGGCCAATAACCTTCTGGACACTAACCAAAGATTTTAACTGCTATGTTATTTAGTGCTGATAAAAGGAAGTACAAAGTGCTGCTTGAAAGAAGGCAGAAATTGTGTTTGTATCTGCAGTTTGATGCTTTAATCTTGCAAACTGAAAATATTTAACTTACACACACATACACATGCTATGTGTGGGGATGGTAAGTGAGGGGAGTTAGGAAGACTATGTCACAATAAGGAAAGTGATTGGTCATTGCTTTCCCCTGTACAGAAAAAGTTAGGTTGGTCTAGTGGTTAAGGCACTAGGCTAGAAAGCAAGAAACTGTGAGTTCAAATCCTGTCTTAGCCATGAAAGCCAGCTGAATGACTTTGGACAAGTCACGCTCAGCACAACCCACCTCACAGGATTGTTGTTGTGGGGAAAATAGGAGGAGGAGGAAGATGTGTTGGACAGGTTTTCCACCTTGTGTAATTTGTAAAAATAATAAAGGCAAATTATAAAATAAAAAAAAAACAAGAAGAGAAAGGCACAACAACAGAACGATTTACCAATGTATAATCTAAATCCATGATGGCGAACCTATGGCACGCGTGCCACAGGTGGCACACAGATCCATAACAGTAGGCATGCGAGCATTGCCCTGCCTCAGCTCTAGCATGCATGCGCGTGCTGGGCAGCTGATTTTCGGGTCTTCCGGGCCCACGAGAAGGCCTCCGGATGGCCTCTGGGGGTGGTGGGAAATGCCGTCAAGGTGTCAAGGTTTTTCTTAAGCTTAGAGTCAAGCTGACATGAACAAAGGACAGGGAAGACGTAAATGTGGATGCACTGAATCCTTAAAAGTGAAAAATGAAAAGATTTTAGATGTGTGTACCAAATGGAAAACATGTTTTGTTTTCAGCTTGGAATATAATCAACTCACTCATAATATTACAACAAGCCTATCAGATGTAGACAAAAAAAAAAAAAAGATTGGTTACTAGATGGTAGCAAAGAAATTTAATAAAGAAATTTTTCTACCACATTTGAGCTGCAAATATCTGGATGAAAGGGAAAAGTTGGAGGTTTCTCTATTCTTTTGCTGTTGTATAGCTGCAATTTTTGCAATCGGGTAGTAATTGTCCTAATTTACCATTGAAAATTGCCACTGACATGCTATAGTGAGTGGTCCTTTTATTTTCCATTTCTATGGTCAGAACGTGATTGCCATGCAAACTTTGTGACTGCTGGGGTTATTCTGAAATTGGTCCATTTCTTATTTAAGCCAATATGCAGAATCAAGGTTTGGTTGCTGGCTGGAGCAGCTGGGCAACTACCTGATGGGCTACTTTTTTTCATGTTGACATATTGGCTATAATAATGAATCCATGAATGAAGAGTTGAAGGGAAGTTCTTTTCAAGCCTGTCATTGGATTGAATTCCTTCTCTCAAAATTTAACAGACTGGACAGTCTCCTTGTATGTTTTGCTGGGATGCTACCATTTCTAGGATCAATTTTCTATTGACTAATTTTGAATGCCTTTTTCACTCTGCCATGCAGAATGGATATGTCAAATTTTATATCTAGGAACCAAACATGGTTATATTCAAGAAATTACGATTTGGACAGGATTATATTATTTCCAGAAACCTCCTTCTAATATCCACCATCCATTGATTTACTAATCTCTAGGAACTGCACATTTCCCCCAAAGGTCAGAAGTTATTATTGCAGTCTGGAGCATATTCACAGAACACACAACTCAGGAGATTTGGAAATTGTGTCCTGAAATTAGCTAATAGGAATGTGGTGATGAGTTTAATTTAAAGAAGACTTTTTCTTTTTTACATACTTAATTCTACCGAGTAAACTCTGGATTTCTGTCTCAACTTCCCAATAATAATTAATTACCTGCAATGGAAAAGATTTCAAATAGAGAAAGATAAGTTATGTGCTTTTTTCTCTCTTCTACCCTGCTAATTTGTTACTGGCGGGGAGGTTTGGACTGCTCAATCTGCTTATTGAAGAAAATTTATTTCTATTAGTGGCAGGCATGTGAATAACTACACTTAATTGTTGGAGTGCCCGTAAAAAGTGTTTTGGTTTCAGGCATTTGGGGTTTATGAACCTAATGCAATCTTGAAATTTTACTTCATAGGCTGGTGTTGATTATTGAATGTTGCTTTTGGCAATGTGAGCACAATTTTACATCAGAAAGTAATTGTTTCCTGTTGTACTCGGAGTGATAGAATATTGTGCCAGGGTTGTTTTTCTATATAAAATTGCATATAGAATTAGATTTTAATTGTGCACATTTGTTGCTTATTCTTTGTTTTTACAATACTCAATGTCTTTTTGAATATGCTATTATAGTTCAAATACTTTGTTTATGATTATATCTTTTAATAAAATCTAGATATGAGATCCATTTTTTTCTTTGATGCCTGTGCCAAAATGCGATTCAGCAAAATCACGCACCTTTTCTACTCAAGGAAGCATTCACTTATTCAAATTGCCTTTAAAATGTCAAAAGTTCTATATTGATATTGATTTGAAAGTATATGCAACAAAAATGAAAAAGACATAACAATAAAAATAATGTGAAAATGCTTAAAGAGAAGGGGAAATGATACTCAGTGCAGTTGACAATACATTTTGAAGGATTACTTAGGCAGTTGCTTGGTACAGCTAAAGTATTGAGAAAAAAAAATGATTAGAAGAGAAAAATCATCTGATTTAATTGAAATATTTATTTTATTTATATCCCAGTTTAATTATTTTTTACAAATAATTCAAGGTGGTGAACATATCCAATACACTTTTCTCCTCCTATTTCCCCCACAACTCACAATAACCCTGTGAGGTGAGTTGGTAAGAGAGAAGGGGGGGGAGGAGAGAGAGAGAGAGAGAGAGAGATTGGCCCAAAGTTACCCAGCCGGCTTTCATGTCTAAGGCGGAATTTGAACCCACAACCTCATGCTTCTATTCTGATGCCTTAACTAAAAGGCCAATAGTTTGAAGAACATCAGAATCTATGTATCTCCTCTGCTCCTGTTCAGTTCTTTATAAATGCTATGTTGAGTACCTAGGCAATCTGGAATTTCACTCTCCCTCCCACTCCCAAATTAACAGAAGAACTTATCACCTCCAATTTGCTTTATGTAGACAAATGAGTGAAGAGAAGCTTGGTGAAGGGAGTTGAGGGGCATTCTCTCCTCCCTTTTTCATTTTCGAATTGTCCATCTAATCTTAATTGTCCAGGCTAATCTTCAGGTACAGAGAGCTTTTAGTTTGCACAAACAAATAAGGCTCAAACAGGGAAGATTTACATATGAATTTGGCTAGGAAATTTGTGGAGGAGGTTCCAAACAACACAGGCAACAAAGGAAACAATATTTATCTTCCTGCTCAGCTCCAAAACCTGCTCCAAAGCAAGTTTGTTTTCTTGATGAAAGTGAAAGGGAAGAGACAAGAGAGTTCTTACACTGAAATGCATCTACAGTCTAGACCTAGATATCTATCTCTCCTCTCCTCTCCCCTCCCTCCCTTCCATCTCTCCCTCCCCCTCTCCCTCCCTCCCTCTCTCCCTCTCTCTCTTTCTCTCTCTCTCTCTCTCGTCTGTCTGTCTTTCTATCCATCTATCCATCATCTATCTCAGGAAAAAATAGAGACTGGAAGTGGGTTTTTTAGGTATGCTCTCATTTTCAGAGTCTCAGTTCATTTCTCATGTTTAACCTACCAAATCAAACTTTCAGGTTGAGTCGACTTTATCTGAAAGAACAGATCTTACCTGAAGTCTTATTCATTCCAGAAACTAGCATCTGAAGCCCCACTCTGGGTTCTTTCTACACTAAGGTATGTTTTTTGCCCTTGAGCAGGCCATTAATAAATATATTTTATTGCAGTTTTAGTGCCAGGCAAAGACAGTTTTATTCTCCCAGGCTGTTGAATATCTTAATATTTTAATAACTCTATTATGCTGCGATGCAACCTATTAATTAATTTTGTTCCTTCTGTTTTATTAAGACTTCTTTTTTATTCTTGCTATTTGCATGATTGTATTTCAGCAGTTGTCTTTGGATGAAATTTTTAGACTGTGACTTCAAACTTGTTTCTAAGCAAAATCTTTTGCTTTGAATAGTAGCATACATAACATTTTAAAATATTAATTCTAAGACAGGGCTCAATCTTACACCCTAACTGAAGATACTTTGGACTCATGTCCTTTAATTCAAGCCCAATCTCAAATGGAGCAGTCTAAATTTGCCTTTAGCTGTTCTGGGCATAAACTGGTCTTCTTCCAATTCAGGTCTTCCATATCAACAATCTATGACTCTTCATTGATGATGTTGATGATGATGACAGGGACTGGATCTGCTCAACTCCCATTGACTGTTCTAGGTTGTTCTGGTTATGCAGTGAGATTATACACCTGGTATCTGCAGAAATATCTCCCACATAATGCTGGACTGGTGCTTCAGAAAATACCATTTAGGCTCACTCCTAATACATATAGGTTTAGTGGTTTTCTGAAAGAGCAATAGATCTGTTTGGTATACTGTACATGCTTTTAGTTAGACTTAGTTAGACTTGTGCTTAAATTCTCTTGCCCCTTAGTGTTCCCTTGTGAGTAAGATAAACAACTGCTAGTTGCTGTCTTTAACATATAATAGTTCAGGCTTGGCCAATTGTAGATGAGTATAAAGTATAAAGTATAAAGTGCTAGCCCAGAAGATCAATTTAAACTGGAGGGCTGGGTTCTGTCACTTGTGTTGCTTGTGCTAACCAAATGAAGGTACCACATTATCTGCTACTTTCATCCAACCAGAAATAGTATTATATTTTAGGAGACAGGGCAATATTATTTTTGCCCACCCCATTTTGCCTACACTGTAATCTATTTTTGGGTGCTAGTGGCCATTGGGGCTTGACTACTGTTCACTCTGGGCTCAGATTAAATTGACAATAATTTTGTTTATGTCCCTATTGAGCCCAAATGACAGGTCCAAGGCACAGATCCTTTACAGGGTGGATATCTCTTGCCAATGAATGTTACTTGGACTATTTCTGAACCCAAATCTAGCACTCTTTTGGAAGAATAATGCATCCATGTTGAATAGTCCAAATGACCATTTAGTGGAGCAATGGAGAAGATGAACTGAGATGGAAGTGTCCCAATCTATCAGGTAAATTCTGTTATGCTGAAGTTGTTGATAAAAATACACAAAAGAACCAGAGATTGCCTTTTAGATTACACCTTTATTCAGCTGAACAAAGACGGCCCCTCTAACAGAGAGGATGCCCAAACATCCAGAAATTCTTATATTTATACTTTTCTTACACTCCACCCAGCAAGGCTGGCACGTAAGAGATACAAGAATTACCCAGAAAGTCTGGCACACAGTAGTTAAGATATTAAGATGTTCTTAGGACATATGTAGGTTCTTTTAGGGACACTAGGTGTTCCCTAGCATTTCAGGACATTGGGTGCTCCCCTGAGGACTTTCCACAGTTCTGCAAGTGCCCAGAAATAAGGGTGCCATCTGTACATACTTGCCTTCTAGGCTCTCCCCAGAATCGGGGTCAACAGTTCCCTCTGCCTTCATCCAATGTTCCTCCACTCCTCTGACTTGGCAGTCAGAGCATTTCAGGAAGTAGGTCTGGTGCTTTTTTTGGAAGACTGCTACACCTGTGTTCAGAAATAGCTTAAATAACAAGTGCAGATAAGTTCTATATCAGCAGCCTTTCAATCAGGAGACAAAGGGTAGTTAAAGCCTTCCTTCCAGGCACTTGCTTATAGATTCCCAAGCCTGAGCCACCATATATGTTAAGACCAGCTGTGGTTGTTTGTCCCACTTGGAAGAGAACACTGGGAGGGAGGAGAATTCACCATAACTGCCATTAAAATTGTTCAGGAGCAAATAGGACTTACTGAGACCATTGAGGGCAATACAGGTGAATATCTGTACTGTGCAACTCTTACATATAAAAATAAAAATTGTCCCTTCTTAATGGATTTTGCCACTGCTTTGCCTCCACTGAATGAAATACCCTTGGCAGTATCTGTATGGTTGATAAGCCACTTTCATGGCTGTATCCTTTTAGGAGTTTCCAGGGTTTGAAAAAAATATAAATAATCTCCATTTCTGATTTATCAACTGATAGCACCTAGAAATTTGTGACCAAGGGACAAATTCAAAACATTACTACAAAACAATATTGTTTGTTGTCAACTAAAACGTTTTCGTGAATGCAAACTATAATCCAGAAGCATTTGCTGGATACTTTGCTAGCATTTGCTAGATGCCTCTTATGGTTTAAGATGAAAACTGCTTCTAAAAGAGGAACTTAGTGTTTTAATACTTGGATTTTTTTTAAAAAAAATACTGAGATCAGAGTCCTATTTCTTTATCTACCATAATTTTAAGACAGGAATCAAATACAGTGTATCGGGTTTACATTGTAAAATGTAATTTACAGTGCAAGGATTATTAACAATTGGTTCTTTATTTCATATAAGAAGGAAAGTTTATGAAATATAATATGAACTAAATTAAGCAAAACCTATCAGCATTTTTTTTTAAATTCAGTGCTATGATTATACTCATCCCATTCATTAGATGGTAGGATATTTCAGGGAAGCACTTTGTGTTGGAAAATTCCTCTGGGTAATTTCCAATTTTCTTTGTCTCCTCCCACTTCCAGTCAATTGCGATGTCCAAAACAGAGCAAGCACACATGCCACTCAACCAGGGGTAGGCTTCCTTTAGCAACGGGTTCGCTGCCCTGTTGCTGGGTGGGCATGGCCATGGTGGGCGTGGCCTAGTTGGCCACCTGCACCATGGTGGATTTGGCGGGTTCGCCCTCCCCAGGCTCCAGAGGCTTTCCTCGAGCCTCCGGAGGGTGAAAGCAGCTTCACCCGGCATCGGGAGGCCCTCCGGAGATTGGAAACAGGCCCATTTCCAGACTTCCAGAACCTCCAGTAGGCCCTTTTTTTGCCCTCCCAGACTCTCCACGAGGCCCCTGCACTTACCTGGAATGATGAATGGGCTGTGTGGAGACTCCTGGGAGGGGCGGGGTGGGGTGGGCGTGGCCAGCCAGGGGTGGCATTTGGGGGTTTGCCGAACCCTGGCAATCCTTGGCTAGAGGATCGCCCAAACCCTGCTGAATCCCGAAGAGCCCACCCCTGCACTCAACTCAGCTGGTAAAATCACACTCTGAATTTTATTTAATAAATATTAGTAAAATTTAAGAGATTTAACAGGCAAACCTGTGACAAAATACAGGGAAACAAAGAAGAAAGAGACATAAACAGAAGGAAAGAATTCATAATATCATTTTTTAAAATATTTAAATGTGCTGCACTTTCCAAAGTCACTAGAAATAATACTGAGGGTAATTAGTATGGATTACCCTTTCTTTCCTTCAGCTTTAACCCCTTTGTAAACATAACAGTAGCAGAAGACATTGGGAAGCAGGACACCAAATATGACATCTCTTTTGTTCTACTCCATGAAGGAACAATTTGGTGGATGGGGAAGATGTATCCAACACTTTTAGGGTTGTTTGTCTTTAGAAGAACATCACTGGAGCTTTGTTGGAGCTTTGTTGATAGTTAGACAGATGTGAGCATAATAGAGATCAAATTAAATTCTTTAACAAAGTCCATTGTTATACCATCTACTCTTTAAAGAGACACAAGGAAAATCACCCTTTTCTAAAAGTGCTATTAATTTGAAGAGTCTAACACAAGGCAAATAGATGAAAATATCTTCTGTAGGGAATGTACAATATTCCTTTACCTTTTTTTTTTTTTTAATGTTAAGATCTCAGCAGGACAATGAAATATTTGAAAAAGCAGCACAATAAAAACTAAAATCATGGGTAGCCTATAAACTTTGGATGGAATTTAGTGGAGGTGGTTTCATCAGTTTTTCATTTTATATCCTCCCCCTCTACCCACCATGCTGTTCAGGTCTTCTCATATTACCCTTCTCACAGCGAGACAAGCACAGTGCCTTAATTTTCAGGCTGTGCAAAATGTTAGAAACTCAGAATCTCAATTACAAAACAAAACAAGATAAGATTTACAATAGATGCAGATTAATCAGCTTTGCTCATAAAAACCATTGGTTGTGTACAGGGGACAAGGGATTGTTAAGAAATTTATGTGTAAAGGATAAAAATTAAGCCCCTAAGCAGCTCAACTTGATCTCTGGAAAAACTGGTGGTAAAATATAGGTTGGCAATAAAATGAATGAACACAGTGGTGTAGTTCAGATAGCAAGAAAGCAAATACACAGAGAGAGAGGGGGGGGGGGGGGGGGGAGGGAGGGAGAGAGAGAGAGAGAGAGAGAGAAAGGGAGGGAGAGAGAGATTTGCATCTAGACAGAGTTCAGATCTGTTTTCTGTACCAGTGTTTCTTTTATGGATCTTCCAAAATCATGTTCAGTTCAATGCACTCTAATGTTGTCTGTGTTTAGCAATTGACAAAAGTTTATTCTGGCAGCCATGAGCATATATCTCCCAGTGGTGGGATTCAAATAATTTAACAATTGGTTCTCTCCCTAATGACTGGTTAGGTAGGTGTGCCTGGGTGGTCATGTGACTGGGTGGGCATGGCCAACTCAAGGCCTGGGCCCACCTCTCCCCTCCCCTCCCCTTCTATCCCAGCCACTCCTTGTCAAGCCCAGCCTCAACTCGCCTTGCCCGTCCTTTCCTCGACTTACGACCACAATTGAGCTCAAAATTTATGTTGCTGACAAATTTATTAAGTGACTTTTGCCCCATTTCACCACTTTCCTTGCCACATTTGTTAAGTGAATCACTGCAGCTGTTAAGTTAGTAACACAGCT